AGAGGACCTGCTGTCGCCAGTACAGGACGCAGACCGCTTTTACAGGGGCATTTTAGAACCAGATAAACTGCTCACCCACCCCTGCTGGCAATGCCCTCCCGGAATATCCCAAATTCCCGTGCAGCCCAGCTGCGTACACTTTCTCCCCCAACTATGACTTGAGGGGCCCCCATCAGTATTTGCACCCAGGGGCTGGGGACAACAGGCTGCTCAAACCGGTGCTCTACAGCCCCCCGCCCCAGTGCTGTCATTGTAGAACCGAACCGGAACGAGTATCTGGAGGTAAAAGCAAAACTAAACGTTGAGCCGGATTACCTCGAAGTGATGGAAAAACAGACCACATTTAGCCAGTTCTGAAACCAGAACAGCTCCCTCGTAATGTTTTGCATTTCCAACAAATAAGCAAGCAGACACACAGTGAACTCATTTGACTAATTGCGTTGTCTCCACGTTTAGGGTGAAGTGCCTTGGCACGGAATTCTCAGTTTCGACGGAAGATACTGAAAGGACGTGCAGTTTCCTTTTAAATTTTACACGCGGGAGACTTGTGTAAACTGGGCACATCGCTTTTTGTACTTGCGTGTAGGGGAGCTTGGGAGGGCAATTTGCTGTGCAGGGTCCTTATGAAAGGTCCCACTAACTTTTGTAGTGATTGGAAGTGCTGAAGAATGATGGGAGAAAGATACTTCCTTCCCCTGCTCTTGTCTTCCCACGCTCCTGTCTCTCCTCCCGTCTCTCCTCCCCTCTCCCTCTTAAGCCACAGGTGGGTCTAAATGGCTTTATTTGGAGAGATTAGCACATCCCAACAAGAACAGAAAGTTTGTTTTCTCCATCCCCCCCTCCCTTCTTCTCCCACTCCCTCATTTCTTCCCTTTCTTTTTAAAGGATGTGTTTGTATGCATTTTGGACATTTGAATTAAACAACAAAAGTACTGTGATCTCAAAAGGATCACCATAGATGTGGACAGATCATAAAATTATAAAGCTATATGATCCACAATTGATTAGTCAAAATAACTTATTGATGAAAAATTCAAATATTTTATTATAGCACCTATTTTTATATGCACATTTAGCATTCCCCTTTCCTTCACTCTCTAGTCTATGATGTTCACAAAGGTGTCACACTATATTAGGAACTGTATTTCCCAAACAAGTGATATCAGGAAAGCATTTCAAATCATGAAAATATGAAGACATTTTTAAACTAAACTTTGAGCCAATACAACCCACCCAACCGGACCTGTATTTTCTTTCTTTCTTTTTTTTAATGAATTGAATCCCAATGTATAAAATAAAATGTTTTAGGGCAATTTAATTGGGTCATTTGAGTGAGAATCATGTGCAAGTGTTTGGTTCTCTTAGAGAACATTTGAAAGTATTTTCATTAGTCAACCAAAAGTATGTATTGATTTGACTACTATTGTAGCCTGTTTTTGATTGTTTAACCAAGCCCAGTTGCATTTGTGTGGTCCAAGTGTACTGGCACCTTGGAAGACCAAATGATGGACTGTACAAATCTCCATACATGTCTTTATTCCCTTGGGCAGCAAGCAATGATGATAACCACAAACAAGATTTCTGTAAGATGAGGCTACTGTTGTTACAGTCTCATATGTATCCCAGCACATGTAATTTTTTAAATAGTTTCTGAATACACACTTGATAACTATGTCACACACAAAAAAAGGAGTGAAGGGGTGGAGTCTAACTTGTCAATCAGGTTACAACCTGACATACCTCCTTGTGGCCATGGCCTTCTCATGAGGATTCTGGGAACTTTCTCTTTCTCCTTGGAGGTGGACTACATACTTTCTCCTTCACTTTCCTGCTTTTAAGAAACTCTGAGCGTTCAAGGAGCCATGTGGAGACCTGCACCAGCATTGAGATGCTTCCACTACCATTGGATCCACAAGACTTTTCACCCACCAGCCTGTGATCTTCCTGCATTCAGCATCATTACATGTGCTGTGTGATTCTGAAGAGGAATTTATAGAAGAGTATTGGACATATGGGCTAATATCAGACTTATGGACTTAATCTGGACTGGGCTGGGATATTTTCTCAATACACAATTGCTCTTTGATATAAAGCCCTCTCTTGTACACATATGAGTGTCTCTGGATTTGTTTCTCGAGCCATCCCAGACTAACACAGGTCAATAAAACTGTTAACATTAAAAAAAATCTTATCAACCTAGAAATAGAGGGAAACTTCTTCAACTAGATAAATAACCTATGAGAATAAAAAACAACTAAAACAAAACTTTAAATCTAACATCACACTCCATGGAGAAAAACAAATAAATGTGTTTCCTCCTGGGATCACATATAAGACAATGATGTCTTCTAACTCCACTGAGATAGTTTATTGTGCCAGCCTGGCTGATAAACGCAGGTGGGATTGACTGAGGGGCGGAGAGATGGAT